GCACCACCATTCATACCTCCATTGTATGTCCATTAATACCAGAGGCTGGCCAGACTGCCTACCGGCTCACCTTGCTGGGCTGGCTGCCATACTTGCTGTACTGGCAGCGCTGCTATGCACATCTCTTCTTCAACGTGGCAGATTCTATCAGCTCACAATTTGTACGGACTTGACGCAAGCTGTTCCACGATATACAACGAGTGTATCACTCTACGTCACCCTCGCGTGGTATTCATCATCTTGCTGCCTCCGCATGTGGGCGAATACGTGTTCAGTGGGTTCCACGAGCCGCTTTGCTGGACCTTGTCAAAGCTGATTTGGCGACCCCCCCTCCCCTTCAAGTTACACTGCACTTGTTACCGCATTTTCCTGAGGACGCTCAAGGACAGATGCTCAGGGAAAAAGAAAGCCTCCGACGTACCACACTAGCTCTTATACCACAGTGTGGATCAGAACTAAGTTACGTTGCCGAGGCTTAGTATAAGGGGTTGCGCTTACCCCACCCGTGACAACCTTTGAGTACAAAAGTACCGTATGCTTCAAGGGCCACAATGTTTTTTTTTTTTTGTGGGGTTTCAGCCAGCCTTTAAGTAGATGCGCGTGTCCACATGCGAGTGTGTATACAGACTCATGCGAAAACTGAAAAAAAAACATGGGTGTGCTGGTAGCAGCATCAATTCTGCTTACAAGAAGCAGCTATCACATTGGCCGGAACCTCATAGCCCTCGAACGTGGGTGCGAAAATCAGACGACAGTGTTTCGCAGCGCGTTCGCATTCTACTGAACATGTGCAGGTTTTCGCGTCGGCGTACTATATCCTGGATCGATGATAAAGCGCTCTTCAGCGGGTTACATCTTTATCTGAATCATCAATATGTGCGCCCGCCATGCCACCGCGCGTCGTCACCACGGTCAATAAATGTGACTCGCGCCTTTCGAAAGAGCTCGACGTTTAACACCTTACCAATAGCGGCGTCGCTGATAACGTCTGTGTCACTACCTGACACGGCCACAGAATGCCTGCTGGCGCACCCGCGCTAACAGTGATGTATTTGGGCTCAATGCGTGGCCAGTGGTCCATCAATTTATGAAGCTTTCATTCGAGACCTTCCAATGGCGCCCTCTTAGCATATGGACCTTACGTTAGCAAAGAAGCATCTGGTGAGTAAAATTCAATTTGCAAATGCGAATGCTGGCTGCTTCTGACGAAAGTTTTCTTTCTGATAACTTAATTGCATTCACTATCTTCAAGCGTCCTACAGCTTCTTTTTCCCCTTTCCTGCAATGTAGGAGTTTTAGAGCAAAGTCGACAAAACCTCCGCCCCAGTGTGATTGATTCATGGTGACTTCGATCATGTAAAAACACGGTGTAGCTGTGCGCTTGTGTTGTTCTCTTGTCCAGCCCCTGTTACATAATGCACCCAACTTTTTGCATTCAAAGTGTAGTTGTGATACGAATTACGGGGGATGCTCAAAATTTTCCAAGAATGTCGAGACGACAGCCTATAGTTGGACAAATATCGACGAGGAATGAAGCTGCGAGCCCACGCTGTGACGCATAGGCACAGTGAAATTAAGGTTTTGAAATTTCGATAGCAGGGCAAGAGCACGTGGCATGGTGAGTAAAAGCAGCTAAATTTTGCCGGCCCCGGCTATGTTGCGAAACGTGAGTGGTGCAGGGGCGTAAGGGGAGGGGGGGGGGCGAGAGGTTCCTTTTAGGGGCGAAGCTTCTTAAAGTGGCACCTGTTCGTCCCTCGTCGTAGTACGTAACATGTCTTACGCTTTGTGGGAGATTTTTCCTGTGCGTTGTTGAACAATAAAAAATTCACAGCGTGCGCGTTAACTAAAAGCCGAATTCTCCTGTCTCTCATTCCCAATTAGTAGCCATTGGCATGTACATTGAACACCATCTGACAAGAAAGGGTTGCTATGTTATACTCGCTGTTTGTAACCTTCTTGGTTTTAGAAAGTTTTAGCGAGCGTTGGGCCGCAGTGCCATGAATGCAGTGAACTAGTATATACCATGAACTCGAGGTGGTTAAAGGTGGGAAGCAGACACGAAGCGTAAGCCGTAAGAAAGTGTGCATGTGCCACCTCTCATTTAGTCCTTGGAATGTCCGCTGGATGGCGGTGCTTCTATATGCGGAATATATGATGAAAAGATGCGAAATGGTGGTACATGAAGTGTTGGACGAACGGACACACAGACAGATGCATGGACGGACGCATGGATGGCTGCACGGACGGACTGACGCATGGACGGACGCAGGAGCGGATGCATTGAAGAACGCATGGACGGGCGCATGGATGGACGTGCGGACGCACGGATGGACGCATGGACGGACGGAAGCAAGAACGAATGGACGGACGGATGCTTCGCCTCACTCTCCATTATTCATCTCATGGATATGCTGCCATTTTTTTATCGAAAAGAAGGCACCTTCCTGAAATGGCCATTTTTCGCTCTATTCAATGCCGAAAAAGATTTCGGGATTAGGCGGGGGGGGGGGGGGGGCATGGGCACGGTGTGCACCCCTTGGCTACGACAATGCTCGGATGTGAACCCACGTTTAGACCGTATAGATAGATAGATAGATAGATAGATAGATAGATAGATAGATAGATAGATAGATAGATAGATAGATAGATAGATAGATAGATAGATAGATAGATAGATAGATAGATAGATAGATAGATAGATAGATAATTTCTATATGTACACACAGATACGTTTTGAGGTGACCAGTCAGCATTCACCGATATCATCTACTTATGTATAACAAGATATAGTGTTTTATTCATGGAAAACAGTATTGAGCACTCAACGAAATGTATGACATTGCAACAAAGGAGAAAGACGAACATTACTTAAGGTGAATCTGGCACTTCTTTCGTTTGATTGGCGACTAATCTCCCTTTTATACGTTAGGTGCAACGCAGTGGATGCAAGCGAGACTTCTTGCAATGAATACATTACGCACTAAGAAATAGTACGATGATTTTCGCACCCATCATTTCTTTTTCTTTTTGTCCTTAGCAATAAATGAAGATGCTTTGTGCGTCGCAGACAAAGACGCCCCGTTGTATGGCTGTCTATATAAGTTGCTATGGATAACTTAGCGCCTTTTTGTTCTAACTTCTTGATGTTTTATTGGTAGCCTTTCGCGAGGATGTATTAAAAAATTGCCGGAGTGGAAATTATTGCCCAGGAGTTAGGCAGAATCCATCTTACTAGGGGAATCATAAACTGTCAATGTTCGACGATTAAAAACAGAGAGTTTACCTCGCACGCCCAATGAGTTTAATAGGACAATTTTATTTTTTTTGGGTGGGGGGGGGGGGGGTCAGATAGTGCTCCAAGAGTGTCTTATAGTGTTACTGGTTTTCCTTAGTAACCCTCTAATTGGAGGCAAAGTTTTGGACATTAAGTCACCCATACTTGTCTCACTATGTTATTTCGTAGGGAACAACTATCTTTTTATTTATAATTAACGGAGCGTTTGTACTCAAAGCCACTTTATATAAGTGAACACCGCCAAAAAAGAACATGTTTCCTAGATATTTGGTGGACAACAGCTAGCTTCACTTTTGCCGGCAAAGAATTGTGGGAGCTTACACTCCCGCAATATATATTTTTAAATCCTTTTTGGTTTGTGTTCGTCTCGCACGAGCGCTTACAACGATGAAGACCAAACATTAGAAGCATGTAGTCACACATATTGCTGGCTGAACGTTTTGCATAGCTTCCACAGCGTTGCACCTGATGTATGAAACAGAGTATACAGATTCAAAACCCACTCTCACAGAACCCCACTTACGTAAGAACGTTTACTCATTGGCCAGCACAAGAAGCCACCATTCTAGACATCTATTGATGAGCGAGATAAGGAGATGCTAACAATGTTGACGAGCATTCACGGACGCCATTTTTTTATTAAATGCAAGTTTAGTGAATATATTTACTCGGTATGGCAGCTGCGTAAGAAAAAAAAACGATGACGCATGTCAAGGTAAATGTTGCACACCGTGGGCAAACTGGTTTTCTTATTGTGGTAACGAAAGCCGTGGAATGTAACACGGCACTATAGAACTCGTGCGACGAGAAGCACTGTTCTATAAGATAGTTGCAGAGCTGAAGATCACATATAATAAACATCAATACATGGTGTAAGGCCATCACTACAGGGCTGTTGGATTAGACCGTTAAAAAAAAAAACTACTAAAACGAGAATGCATATATGCACACTATACATCTGTGTGCATAACACAACTATAAGCGCGATTGTAAAACAACAAATAAAAAAAACAATATTGTTAAACACGCACTCATATGCAAATATAAATAGGTAACACTAGGTCGTGACTGTATTTAACTGCTTTTGCATAGTGCACGTGTGCCAAAGTTCTGCGCACACACTTTATGCAAAACGCGGCAACGTTACGTAACACCGTTACGTACGCTGCGTGATATGCACAAAAAGGAACGAAAAAAAAAATTTTGTCTGTGTCCGTGGAAACTACTCATTCATTTTTTAGGCTTAAGGTATGGCGGCTTGGGCTAGTCGGTTAGATACGTTTGAGAGGTCGCAGCACTCGAAGACATGGCCAAGAGACAGACACGAAGTGAGCTCTGCTCAAGTTATCTCTCATACCGGCTGGCTCTTTCGTCCCGTCTATTCCAGGACTATGCATCCAAACAGATTATGCGTGCAGGTTAGCCTAAGAGTATGATAATACAGTTCCCATGGAAAAGTCTTTAGTAACGATTACGATGTCGAGCAATCGTTTCTCAAGAAGGTCATCTTGTTATCTACAGTGAAGCCAATGTTGGGGCAGAAGTACGTAAAAATAAACTTATTTGTCTTGTCTTAATACTCGTAGTTTCCATCCTTCTGATATCAAAAACGGGACGAATCATAACTGTGCACAATTTGGTTTAACGTGTTAGGGTTAATCTAAAAACATGGCAAAGTTGCAAAAAAAAAAATAAAACAAAACTCTGGACATGGTGCGAAATCAATTATTGCCCCAGATTCAATTAAGCTTCGCCTTCCTTTTCCCCAAAAATGCAAACGCTGCGCGTGGCTATGGCCATTATATCAAACATCTAAAGTCACACTGAGCCTTCGAGTAGGTGTGAAGTACGAAGTGGTGTGAAGTACAAAGCAGCGAGGCAAGAGTACATTTTGCTCATCGCTATAGCCTCAATGGTTTAGGAGTCCGTGGTTTGAACACCATACAAAGTGGCACTAGTGTCCAAGCTAGGTGTTGTGTGAATGATGATGGGTAAACAGTGCGAAAGAATGAAAAATGGCAACACAAACAACAGATATCGTTCACTCAGGTCCTCAATCTCGGAGGAGGAGTCGTATTCCGGGAAACTTGTACGGCAACACCGATGACATCAGCATCTTCTAAGCTTTAGATTGATGTAGACGCTGGGCAGTGCTGTCAAATAGGCTGACATCTACGCTGCCATTCAGAGTAAGGCACGTTCTTTCGCGCCCCCTGTTTTGGCACTTCGGCAGTATCGAATAGAGGATCTTGCCCTCAGCCGTCCAACTTGAAGTAACGCCTCCAGAAGTTGCAGTTCTCCTCCTGTGGTCCTTTCTTGATGGTGAGGACTTTGAGGTTGATGTCCACTATGTAAGGACCCTCTGCTGAATACCGGGGCCACGCGATCTTGCCCAGCGTCGGCATGCGCCTGGAAGGAGAAGTGGGAGAGAGAGCATGGAAATAACGTTAGTATACGTTAGCATACTATACGTCTGGGAAAAGGAAATTTACACCAGGCTGTTTATAACACGAAGCCTCAAGGAAATCCATACGGATTTCTAAAAAGCAAGGCTTCTTAGTTGCCGAAAAATTCGTCCTGCTCCGGTTATCGAACCGTGGTACCAACGCCTCTCCGAGGTGGCTGCTCTACAAATCGAGATAACCAGGAAGCTAGCAATCGGCAGTGCGAGAGTGAATTTATAGACAATTGAAAGCACCTGTGTTGGAGTTGTCGACACAGGTGCACTTACACGCATAATTGCCCTCGAATGCCAAATGAAAGCACTTGCATGCATATTATTGCAGATATGCTCTGCGAAATCATGCAACTGGGCGAAATGGCATGGAAATGTACATTGACTGTTACCAATTTGTTGCACTAGGTCACTAATTATTCATAGGGAAATCCGTACGAACTTTTTGGTGGGTTTCGAGGGTTTTTAAGAAAAAAATTATCGATTTCCACTGGGAATGTGGTCACAATATCAGTATTGACATTGTAACAGTTCCGGAAAGAGTGCTTATGAACTGTAAAACGAGTTTGTGGATTCAGTGCCCGACTATGTCATCAGCATGACAACACCGACGCTTGCGCCGACGAACAGAGCATGCGTAAATCGGCTTACATGCCCAGCCACCTAAATCACCACTGTAATTTTTAATCATTTTACTGTAGTGTGGCCCCACCGCAATCACTCGACTTTGTAAGCCCCGTCTGCATATTCCTAAACATGAGCCTTCCATTTTGAACAAATAATGAACGGAAACTGGAAAAAACGGTGAGCGCTGCTCAGACGTTCTCACTAAACGCTGCCCCTCAAAGCACATGGCTTGTTCAATATAACAAATGTATTTTAAACTCGATCGATTATTATCCTTTCTTACATACGTCGTCATTTATTTCCGGACTACCTTTTTAACTGCTTTTTAGCATGCAAGTTCAGGACAAATCATTACGTTTAGCTGACTGGCGCACGGGCATAATGGGTGTTCGGTCACCTTAACGCGTATTATCTCTGGTCGCAACGTGTGGCCTGTGTACGTCACGCGAAAATATGTGTTCCACATTACACAAAGACCCAGGCTCCTGTTGGTCTGAGAACAACGGCCTTTACATGGTTAATCAGATGTGTTTCCCCCCCCCCCCCCCCCCGAAAATACGAAACATTACTTCGCAATGCAATTCGTAGAAGAGGCGCTGTACAACAAAGAGTGCGTGTTGCTGGAAGCCGTATGTCGTATGCTCTCTCCAATTCGCCATTGTTCGATGCTTTCGCGTTCAGGTCGAAGAGTTCAGTACCGCCCCTACATCCTCTATTTCACTTGTTGCCGTAGACGACGGCGTCCGGTAACCTTATTATAGGTGTAGCGTTCGGGGTGGCCATTGCCGTTTCGTAGAAGACAGCTCTATACACCCCATGACAGAAAGAACTAATGCATCGTCAGCGTTCGAAAAATAAACAGCCAATGAAGGTTGAGTCACAGCATGCGTTTACGCGTTCAGAGGAAAAGCGACGGTCTCGTTCACACTGCGCGAGTGCGTAAAAGCGATTGTAAGCACGCAGCCTTGAATCTTCGCGGTAAACATCACCATCCGACAATCGCCGTTGCGCGTGCGACGACGCTGTGCGGCGATAATTGCGGCTTCACGCATCTCAGAGAACAACGGCCCACGAGGGAATCGCGCCCGTCAGTTTCGTACTTCTTGTGAGAAACAGGCGTGGTGTGTGACCTTTGAAACGTCTGGCCGTCGGGCAGTCGTCGTTAACAGCCCGCTTAATCCTGACGCTTTGTATTTTTCTCGTCCGACGTCGTTTGCCGCAATGCGTCAGTAAAAGCGATACGCCGGTAAAAAGCGAAAGTCGTCGTTAAGCACTGCAGCCGAGATGATTTCGATCCAACTAGGTAACGACGTTTGTGACGTTGCTGTGAAACGGCACGCACCGCGTTGAGGGTGCCATTGGTGAGCTGTCGTTTACGTTATGCCGGTACATTAGACGGCCACACCAGAAGTCCTTATCTCGACTTTAGCCGACGCATTTATGAGTGCGTGGTGCTTGTTTAATGTTGCTACATGCGGGAGTCCTGGCTGACCTTGTTCTACACAGCAAGCAGACACGATTTACGAATAAAAGAAAACTAAGCGCTGACGCGAGACTTAAGCTGGATTGTACGGATTTAAGCGAGAGAGCCATTGAGTTGATCGAGCATTGTGAGCATAAAAGTAGACAGCGGTTCTGCGTGGGATACCGGAGGAGTTTCACGATGTCAGTGCATATTTTTCATTCACGTCTAGTGCATAGCACAATGCTATATTTTAGCCTTCCTTCTGTGTACTTCGCAGACCGCACACGCCCCTTCGCAAACCGCTGTGCGCCTAAGATTAACCTCGATGCGAACGTTGTTTCGCACAGGTTTTGCATCGGCGAGTCTCAGTAGAGAGTGATTCATATTTGGTTGAGCATGACGATAACAAGAACACGCGAAAAAAATGTAAAAGAATTGCTAGTTCTTGAAGACATTAAATCCCACTTTGTTTAGAAAGAACATCGATGCCCAGTACTAAGAAATCGGCCAACAAACATGTCGTTTCATGAGTTTTTTTATAGTACGAATATAATAAAAATTAAACTTAGAATACTGGAGCGTGGGGAGAGAAGAAAGAAGAAATGCTAGAAACGAGACAAAAAATAATTTTGGGATAACGAAATCTACAATACAGGTATGGAATAAAACAATATATTTCTGGGTCACTGCAGTAGCTGGTTTCTATATATCTAATCTTGCAAAAACTGAGACGCCGTAAAGGCGCGGTTCGCGTGATTGGTTGGGTAAAGCGCGCAACCAGTCGCACGGGCTGCCTCTGCTTTATTCGAAGCATTGCGCAAAAATAAAAAAAGAAAGAAAACTAGCCGCAAAGTGGTCGCATTGTTGCGTGAAACGACTTGTCTTTTGCTTTTATTTACTCGCTGATATTGGTTAACCACCAGCTGTAAATGAGAGCGAATGGATAAAGTTCTTCGTGTAAGTAGGTTATAGTTAGTCGAGCATTATCCTTGCGGCAAGCACACCTGATCACGGAGATCACTTGCACACTTTGATAAAAGTGTACCGATCCAAATAACGATGCCCACCATTTTATCATGCACCGGTATTTTACCGACCTTATTCGCTCCACGTTTACTGAGCCGCCTTGCATTCTAAGCACCTGTATGCGATGATGAGGGACTTGAAGTGGGCATTGTTGGCCGCAACAAAAGTCGAGCAGCGAATGACATCATGTGTACGCCCTGAGTGCCCACGTAAAGATATACGTCACCTTGGTGGACTTACGACTGAGAAAAAGAGAACCAAAGAAAACGGAGGGCAGTAAGGAAAGTGGTTGACAGCCGGAGTTAAATTAACGGTAAAACGTTTACAATGATGTAAGTGTAAAAAAAAGTTGTTGCCGTGAGTGCGCAACCAGATACTATATATATATATATATATATATATATATATATATATAGTGGGAGTAATAATTCAATGGGCCAGTTAGTCTTCGTGAAGGTATGGGATATGGCACAACGGGAGCGTTGTCAACAAGGGTAAATATATTTCCCAACAGTTTCGGGAGGGGTCCTCCCTTCATCAGGGGATGAGGGGAGGGCCCCTACCCTGATCAAGGGATGACCCCTCTCGAAACTGTTGGGAAATAAATATATTTATCCTTGTTGACAACGCTCCCGTTGTGCCATATCCCATAATATATATATATATATATATATATATATATATATATATATATATATATATATATATATATATATATATATATATATATATATATATATATATATATATATATGCATTCATGTTACGCATTTATAAGTGTACAGCGTGAAACCTTATGAAAATAAAGGCCGCTGCTTTCAATTCACTTTCACGCGTAACTTCACCCGTACGACCACATGCAATGTCTTCTAAAAAAAGGAAAACAAAAAAGTAGACAGAAAAACTTATAAAAAGACCTGTAATATCTCGCTACTATATACTCTAAAAATGCTCTTCCTAATAGCCAGACAACCAGAATCGATATGGCCCATGCAGTAGAACCTTATACTTACCCGATTTTGGCAAATGTTGTCCATATTTCGACCAACTGCCTGCTTAGAGAAGTCTCCGAGGGCGTCACCAGCTCGGGGAACGCCATGGCATGCGCGAACACAAAAGGGAACTCGTCGAAGTGCGTCGCGCCCATCCAGGGCGGCCACACGCTGAAGCTGGGTCGGTGCGAAAACTGGTAGTAGTACACAGACTGTCCCTTGCGCTGGTACTTCTCCGCAAAGTAGCGGCTGGGGCACGTGATAAGGAAGTCTCCAACGGCGTCCGATCCACGTTGCAAGATAACTCCAGGATCAGTGCTGTTGAGTTTGTCCAGGTAAAACTCGCGAATTTCGTTCACTCCTGACTGTAGCATCGTCCGGAAGAAGAGCACCATGTAAAATCCGAGTTCGTCCTTGGTGATGTGCGCCAGATTTTGGAACTTGAGTCCCTTGGTGAGGAAGTTGTAGACGAAGTATGTGCCTTCGTTCCTGTTGTTCCCGATGAGCAGTTCCACTCCTGTTGTCTTCATGGCGTCCATCAGTACGTTGGCGTCGTCCGGAAAGAGCTCGCCGTCGCGACTCGGGAAGAACGTCTCGGCCTGAGATCCCAGTACCTCTGTGGCAACGTTCACAATCTCGTTAGCGTCCTTGGAGCGCAGACAAGCCATAACCTGGGGGTCTTCGATAGACTTCTCGAAGCCAGTCGTGCAGCCGAGCGCGTTGGCCAGCGAGAAGCTCTTCTGGAGCGCCGTGTCGCGACTGTCGTGCATCATCCAGAAGGGACTTCCGCTCTCCATGATGGCCCGCCGGAACAATCCTCGACTGAGCGGTGACACAAGCACGTATCCAACTGAGATTGCTCCCGCGCTCTGACCGAACACTGTGATAAGTTCAGGATTGCCGCCGAAATGTTTGATGTTCGACTTGACCCACGTAAGCGCGAGGATCTGGTCGTACATGCCCTGGTTTCCGTTGAGACCGTCCAGTCGGGAGCTGAAGAAGCCGAAGGGCCCGACTCGGTAATTTAGCGTGACGACCACGACGTCTCCGGCCGCGGCGAAGTGGATGCCGTCGTAGAAAGACCAGCTGCTGCTGCCGTACGTGAAAGCCCCTCCGTGGATGAACACCATGACGGCCTTCGGTCCGCACGTTGCGATGTCGCGACAGTACCTCGCGGGCGTCCACACGTTGAGGTAGAGACAGTCTTCGGTAGAATTTCGCGTCAGTATCGTGTAGTTCTGGTGCACGAAGAAGTCGGGCTGCTTGCACGGGAATGGCGGCGTCGACGCGTCGCGCAGACCCTTCCATGGTGTCACCGGGACAGGCTTCTGGAATCTGAGGTCGTCCAGAGGCGGCTCTGCGTACGGTATCCCGTAAAACACGTCGATGGGCCTACCAAACGATTCTTTCTTGAGCCCCACGAGCTTGCCGGAAGTTGTATACACAGCGGGACGGTATATCTTTGCTGCATAGGTGATGGGAACTGTGGCCACCACCGCCAGGAGAATGGCGAGCCGTGTTCCGCTCATTGTTCCTGCGTAAGAAAAACGATCGTTTCATCCAACTGTTTTCTTGAAGCACTCTGGCGTTTTTTCAAGCAATTCCTCTTTACCGAAGATGCTACTATATGAACGGAAGTACTTCTTTGCTAAAATACGTAATAATGTTTTTTCACCGTTAGACACAGCAAGTTTTCCCAGCGCGCGTTAAGGCCAGAAAGCGTATCCTCCCGAATCCTCGTTCTGAAAATCAAACAGTGTATTAGAGGTATGACTTTTGGTGGACATATTTTAGACAGATACTACTGACATTTGATTGTATGCTGATAATGCTTAGTGCGTGAGTTGGGCACGAAATGGCACTGTGACTGCTGCTGCCTAGTTTTCATGTACTTCCATTGGACAATAAATTGACAGGAAAATATACAATGCTTGAAGCTTAGCTAGTCTACCTGAACAAAGGTCAGCGTAATAATGGGAAGAGGAGATGGGGGAAGAAACGATTTGCAAAACTGACTTGCATCGACCACGGCCGCCTGGATCGACTCACGCGTGGGGCTCTGCAGGCGTAATATACATAGTTCCTGTATGTGCTGCCTCAGCCATATACATGTAACTCTTATGACAAAGGTGCAGAACGAATTGATGCTTAATCTCAAAAGTGTAACTATGTGATACAGGAACAAGTGAATATTCATTAGCATATCTCGATATAACTGTTCACGTAAGATATTTTACGAAAAAAAAACTGCTTTGTACAAGTGGACTTCATTTAATATTGTTTTTTATCACATCACTACATAAAAATTATGTGAGTATAATGTATGGCTACTGCATTATATAGACTAATAAGTACTAATAGTACTATGGTATGAGGTGGAAGGCTTAGCCACTCTGCTTTCTGATGCATAGTTTGGCATCTCTTGTGTTTGACGATGATCTTTGACACCCTTACACTCGCATCGCTGACTGATGTACAGCGTGATACGGTTACAACATTTACACGCAGCTGATATTTTGCCGATCGATGTGACATAGAAGCCTATATCTCTTCGAGAGTTCACCCGTCGGCGTGTAGTGCGCCACGGCAATGACCAATTTTTTTTTTTCTGTATAAAACATACATTTCGGTTAGACAAAGTCGTTCACTCCATGGGAATGAACGCTGGCCTCGATTTTTTTAATAGATGACAGTGTATTCTGCTACAGACGCCATAAAATTTCGAAACAAAGCGTGGTTAATGGTTACAAAATTAAAAAAAAAATTACCACGAGAAACGAGGACCCGGTGCATAGCGTATGCTGGACAAGTTTTGGTTTCTTTTGGTAAACAACTTACTGTAATTATACCTGCGCCAGACAGCTAGTTCAGTTTTATCGCCAGATCACGAGATCATTGAGACACAATATAGTATTCGCACCATCCAAGACAGCAATTGAAGTGGTGTCAAAACTTTATAAGCGAAAAGGAGAGCGTAAATCCTGCCGTGAATGTCACAATACATGAACAGATTATTTAGATCAATAAATAGTACCACTAAAAAAAACACGTTTAACTTAGGCGTACGCTATCTTCATAACAGCTGTTAAATAGTAGTCGCTCACAACCTGCTCTAAACCTGCTGCCTACCGTGACACAGCCGATCGTAAATTGTGAATAGTAAATCAGCCCAGTCACTACTAGGTGAAAAAAAAAAGGACAATGGGAAATAAGAGCGAAGCACAGATGTCCTTCAGGACATGCCATCGCCTTTTATTTTCTATGTATTTGACGTATTGGTTTCTTCTTGACTTACCAACACGGGTATGGATGTCTTTTATTTTCTCTTTGGTGATCCTAGAAGTACGACGAACACGTTGCCCAAGTCCCTGATGCTTTAATAGTGTGGGCTTTAGTACCCTGTTTAGCTCGTCTCAACAACAACAACAACAACAACAACAACAACAACAACAACAACAACAACAACAACAACAACAACAACAACAACAACAACAACAACAACAACAACAACAACAACAACAACAACAACAACAACAACAACAACAACAACAACAACAACAACAACAACAACAAAAACAACAACAACAACAACAACAACAACAACAACAACAAAGATTACTACAATCACAGAATGATTGTCGATATCGACTTCTTAATAAATCGACCTCCTAGCAGCTCGTACGTGTTTGTGATTCGTAACTTTCTTTCCAATTTGATTAAAGATAAAAGAAGATAAATCACGCGAAATGAACTCCACATATCCCGTGCTCCCACTGCTTTACTAGGGTGAGTCTTAAATAAAATGTATTCATTAGATTACAAAACTAAGTGTCCTTGCGCTGACACATCCCAGCCATCTGATGCAGATAATCGCAATTGCCCGCGCGAATTATTCTTCATTACAATAGTTTCGAGATGGCACACATTGATATGGTCAAGCATACAATAAGTTAGTCTGGATTGCACTCCTGGATCAACAATTTTTATGGCTCTGTTGGCAATGTGACACGTATTCCTGTCGACAAAAGATATAAATAGGCCATGATAGTGAACGACAGGATAGAGACAAAACTCGTTTTGATACTCAAAGAGCACGCATTATATGGAAGATGCTACAGACGGAGATGCTTCAGTAATGAAATATAGTGCACACGAAGCTATGCTAAAGTTCACGAGCTCTTCTTCTTTTTTTATACTTTTGCATGTAGCCGCCATAGCATGGTGGAAGACGCGATGAAGGATTAAACTCACGACCCCCTGCTTAGTGGTATGACCCTATATGGTATACAGCCACTGTGCTACCGCGGCAGGTCACTCGAGTACATTACCTGCTGGAAGGCGCGTAGCAAGATACTCTTCAGGAGGAGCCCACCTGTTGAAGGTCTTGAAAAGCCCGTATTTTCATTAATTATTCCCGGTAAGACAACGCCCTCCATCTGCATTTAGGGACGAGCCCGGGCCGCTAGGGCCCTTTCATTGGCTACGGGCCTGCCTGCCACCATGAACGCGCGCTTCGGCCAAGTTACACTCACCTTTTAGTGTAATCAGGGGCAGTAGGTTACCACTTGGACAGCCTCGAGGCACGCGTTGGCGGTCACGCGCAGACCAGCGCTAATAGGGACGAACCACTTCCGAGGCGTGTCCTCCGGTGTCCGCTCTGCAGTGGACCGCCTGCTCGCACCTGGCTACTGTTCGCGAGCACCGCGCGCGACCGACTGATGGAAGACCGGCCGGCCCAGTGCCGTGCACCTCCTTAGCCTCCGGCGAATGCTAACCGCCGCACTGCACGCGGGGGTAGCGTTGTGCTACAGGCATGATGTTCTCCTCCAGCAGTGGCACAGCCTCTTCCGCAGCGTGCACACACGATGTATGCCTCTCGAAGGTGAACAGCTTGGAGGTGGACTCGTGGCACAGCTCCGGCTGCGAAAATGCTTCCGGATTCGCGCGCGGTTTCAGAGACGCATGCACTGTTCCGGCGCAACCCCGAGAGCAGGCGGCACGAGCGCGCTGTTTGCGGTTGCCCCCTTATTGCCCAGCGGCCCTCAATTCTGACGTTTCCCTCTCTTTTTTTCTCTTCTCCGAACCGGCGACTTTCTCCGTGTAAACGAAAGCGGTCGTCGCAACGGCGCGCGCGCGCGAATGATGGTGAAAGTGGAACGCCTTCCACCCTTCTTGCCCCCCTTCTTCTCCTTGAGAAAAAACCATGCTTGTGATGTGAGTACGTGCGTAAGTGTTACAGGTGCTCACTGATATTCGCGTCTTTTCGTGTACTGCTGTGCGTGCTTCTCTATCACGCATGCTCTCTCAGTCGCTGCAACCGATGACGGCCCTAAAGCAGTATAGACTCTCCCTTCCTCTCATTTCCCATTCCTTCTGTGTCTGGCTCTCGACGTGTCTCGCTCTATCACCTCGGGTGGATTATTGGCGAGGGCATAGTATATGCTGTATAGGGCGCGGTGTGCGCTGTGCACGTTCGCCATCGCTTGCATCACTCGGCGCGATCGACCGGGAGCACCTGGGATGCGGCTTCACGGATGCGGTGAAAGCGCGCGGAGATATACGAGATGCGCCTCGAGCCGAGGGAAGACGCTTGCTGCCTGGCAACCCGGCGCGTGGCGCGGGTGCTACGGGTAACGAACTATCGGCACTCGCGATGGCGTTTCTTTTGTATTTGTTTAGAGACACGGGCGACCTTGCACGCGCCTTGCGAAATTGTATGAGTTTCCAGCTTATAATCATCATTTATGCCTTTTCCAGTTATTGTTTCGCTGTTACGGTGTAGGCGGAATCAACTGGTTGGTACGATGTTACGTAATGTAGGACCGGACGGGGATAAGAATTTTGGAAATTCACTATAGGCGAAGGAAACAAGTAAGCTGGTGCTCTTTCTTGTGTAGATATTGTTCCCTTAGGCATGAGTGTTCACCTTATCTCTGAGTTAATTTGCAAGACGTGTAGCTCTACACCTCCACACTATTTCTTCTTCGTGCCTCATCATTCCATGAACAATAAAAAAGACTTCACTTGTGCTTGAGTGTTAGGTAGCTTCGTATCCAAGTTGCGGAGCGCGTTTGTGCAGACATCCACTTTTTGAGTTCGTTTTTGTTTTAGTAGTCACAAGGGCTGTCTTTAACGATGAACTGCAGATAGACTTTTATTTATGTAGGGGTACTGGAAGAAGAGTGCGGCGATGGCGTAGTGGTTAGAGCATCCGCCTCGCATGCAAAAGGTCCGTGGCTCAAATCCCGGGGCCGCGCAGCTCCCAACCAGATAAAAAAAAAAAAATCCGCGTGGTGATGGAACTGCATTAAGAGGCCTGGGGTGCGGCCTCACCGGTAACCACCGCCGGGAACGCACTCCCTCACCAGAGAAGGATTGGCCACCCTGGTGCAGTACCTGGCCACTAACTCCCACATGCATACGTCAAATAACTCATGGCCCTCAGTCCCCAGCAGCTGTGAAGCAACTGACCACGGTGGTGGTCAGATCTGCAACGCAGCAGAGGGTGCTAACAATCTCTGGATCCGGACATGCCGCCATTAGAACCTGAACTTGGCAACGTTTAACGCTAGAAGCTTATCTAGTGAGGGAAGTCTAGCTGTGCTATTGGAGGAGCTAGAGGGTGTTAAATAGGATATAATAGGACTCAGTGAGGTTAGGAGGACAGATGAAGCCTATACAGTGCTACATAATGGGCACGTCCTTTGTTATCGGGGCTTGGCTGACAGAAGAGAGCTAGGAGTGGGGTTCCTAGTTCACCGAAACATAGCTGGCAACATAGAGGAATACTATAACATTAATGAAAGGGTGGTAGGTATCGTAATTAAACTGAATAAAAGATACAAGATGAAGGTGGTACAGGCTTACGCGCCTACATCCAGCCATGATGACGCTTCAATTGAAAGCTTCTATGAAGACGTGGAATCGGCAATGAGTAAGGTAAAAACACGGTATACTATACTGATGGGAGACTTTAATGCAAAGGTAGGGAAGAAGGAGGCTGGAGACCAGTCAGTAGGAGATTATGGCATTGGTACTAGAAACACCAGAAGAGAGCTACTAGTAGAATTCGCAGAACGCAATAATTTACGGATTTTGAATACCTTCTACCGAAAACGAGGAAACTGCAAGTGGACATGGAGGAGCCCTAATGGCGAAAATAAGAACGAAATAGGCTTTATAATGAGAGCACAACCAGGCATCGTGCGGGATGTGGAAGTGGTTGGCAAGGTACGATGCAGTGACCATAGAATGACACGGTCTCAAATTCGCTTAGACCTGAAGAAGGAACGACAGAAACTGATACGCAAGAAGCCAATCAATGAGCTAGCACTGAGGGGGAAAGTACAGGAATTCAGAGTCTCGCTTCAGAACAGGTACTCGGCTCTTAGTGAGGAAACCAACCTTAGCGTAGATACAATGAATGATAATCTGACGAGTATCATTACAGAGTGTGCAGTGGAAGTTGGAGGCAGGGCAGTTAGACAGGACACAGGCAAGCTTTCTCAGGAAACGCAGAATCTCATTAAGAAGCGTCAAATCATGAAATTCTCAAGTACAACAGACAAAATAGAACTGGCAGAGCTTTCGAAGTTGATTCATAGGCGTAAGGTATTCGATGTAAGAAGGTATAACATGGAGAGAATTGAACACGCTCTGAAAAACGGAGGAAGCGTCAAAGCAGTGAAGAGGAAACTTGGGATAGGCAAAAATCAGATGTGTGCACTAAGGGACAAAGAAGGCAAAATAACTACCAATATGGATAGGATAGTTGAAATAGCGGAGGAGTTTTACAGAGATCTGTACAGTAGCCGGGACAACCACGACCTTAATACTGTAAGAAATAGCAGTAACCCAGCTGACACTCCACCAGTAATGATAGAAGAAGTCAGAAAAGCTTTGGAGAGTATGCAAAGAGGCAAAGTTTCTGGTGAGGATCAGGTAACATCAGATCTGCTGAAAGATGGTGGACAGATTGTGTTAGAAAAACTAGCCACCCTGTTTACGAGGTGTCTCTTGACGGGAAGAGTACGAGAGGATTGGAATAACGCTAACATCATCTTAATAGATAAGAAAGGAGATGACAAGGACTTGCAAAATTACAGACCAATCAGCTTGCTCTCTGTAGTATACAAGCTATTTACAAAGGTAATTGCTAACAGGATTAAGGCACAATTAGAATTCAATCAACCAAAGGAACAAGCAGGATGTTGAACAGGCTACTAAACAATCGACCACATTCATACTATCAATCAGGTAATAGAGAAATGCTCAGAATATAACCCACCACTATACACAGCCTTCATAGATTACGAGAAGGCGTTTGATTCAGTAGAAATATCAGCCGTCATGCAAACACTGCGGAATCAGGGCGTCGATGAAGTATATATAAATATCCTGGAAGAAATCTACAGGGGATCAACTGCTACCATAGTGCTTCATAAAGAAAGCAACAGAATACCAATCAAAAAGGGTGTAAGGCAGAGGGACACAATCTCCCCAATGCTATTTACCGCGTTCTTACAAAAGGTTTTCAGAAGCCTAGAATGGGAACAGTTAGGGATAAGAGTTAATGGAGAGTACCTTAGTAACCTGCGCTTCGCCGATGACATCGCATTGCTGAGTAACTCAGGGGACGAATTGAAACTCATGATTACGGAGTTAGACAAGGAGAGTAGAAAGGTGGGTCGTAAAATTAATCTGCAGAAAACGAAAGTAATGTACAACAACCTCGGAAAAGAGCAGTGCTTCGAGATAGGTAATAGTGCACTTCAAGTTGTAAAATACTATGTCTACTTAGGGCAGGTAATAACCACGGAGCCGAAACACGAGATTGAAGTAACTAGAAGAATAAGAATGGGGCGGAGCACATTTGGCAAGCACTCTCAAATTATGACGGGTAGATAGCCACTATCCCTCAAGAAGAAGGTATATAACAGATGTATCTTGCCGGTACTTAGCTACGGAGCAGAAACCTGGAGGCTTACAAGGAGGGTTCAGCTTAGATTGAGGACGACGCGGCGAGCAATGGAAAGAAAAATGGTAGGGGTAACCTTAAGAGACAAGAAGAGAGCAGAGTGGATTAGGGAACAAACGGGGGTTAAGGCTGTCATAGTTAGAATCAAGACGAAGAAATGGACATGGGCCGGGCATGTAGCACGTAGACAGGATAACCGCTGGTCATTAAGGGTTACTAAATGGATTCCCAGAGAAGGCAAGCGCGTTAGGGGGAGACATAAGGTTAGGTGGGCAGATGAGATTAAGAAGTTTGCGGGTATAAATTGGCAGCAGCAAGTACAAGACCGGGTTACTGGCGGACCATTGGAGAGGCCTTTGTCCTGCAGTAGACGTAGTCAGGCTGATGATGATGATGATGACTACTGGAAGAAGGGGTACCTTAAGAGACAAGAAGAGAGCAGAGTGTATCAGGGAACAAACTGGGGTTAAGGATATCATAGTTGAAATCAGGAAGAACAAATGGGCATGGGCTGGGCATGTAGCGCGTAGGCAGGATAACCGCTGGTCATTAAGGGTAACTGACTGGATTCCCAGAGTACGCAAGCGGGTTAGGGGGAGCCAGAAAGTTAGGTGGGCAGCCGAGATGAGGAAGTTTGGGGGCATGAAGTGCCAGCAGTAGCAGCAGGAAGCACAGGACCGAGTTGACTGGTGGAACATGGGAGAGGCCTTTGTCCTGAAGTGGACGTAATCATGCCGATAATGATGGTGATGACTGGAAGAATATGTGCGCGGTGTTTCCATACAATGTTCTCTCATTTTTTTCTTCATGCGCTCATTTTACGAAGTTTAATGCGTGCTAATTAGAGCATTTTTATTGTTTAAATATTTCTTCAGAGTGCCACATATAAACAACATTTGATATAGTTTTGCTAAAGAAACGAAACATTTACTACGGTCCGAGTTACTTTTGCTAAAACCACGTATTCACGGAGTAAAAAGAAGAGCCGGAGTACAAATGAAGTCTATGTCCTCAAAGATTTCTGTCCTTGAAGCAAGAACTGTAACACGAGGACGTACAAAAGGTG